TATATATATATATATTTTTGCACAGATTTCTTGTGAAGATGAGTTAGATTTCACAGTGTTTAAGGAAAATGCATGGAAGAGCTCCGTTTTCTTTAAAAAATTTCTTCAATCATTATTGACAGTAATCTCTTGAGAACAATGTGGAAAGCGTGCGGTACGCAGAGCTGTCTGTATGTTAGGCACGGAAGGATAATTTTAACATTTGGGGTCAAAAGCTTCCATATGAGTTTGGTTTCTGTACCAGAGTGAAATACAGTCTACCTAAATAGCACTGATTACAATAAAATTCCTTTTGTATAAAAAATGGGAAGTTCCAGCATTTGGAAACACAACAGATAAAAGTGTATTCTGGGATTTTCCCAACATCCAGAACATGAAAACTATCACAGTCTGTGTCCTTACTCATGAGACAAAAATGATGGTGTTTTTTTCCTTTTGATCTTAAGCCTTAAAATTACGCATAATAGCCTGTAAAACATTTGACTCATGGCTCTTTTAAATGCATTAATGCAATTGTAGTAATTTTATTCAGTTTGTTTGCTAGTTGTTAGCTAACATCAACGGCCTTTATGCTCCATGTTTGGGCCGATCGTCTTGCAACCAGGCTTGGGAAACAAATCAGGGATATTTCAACCCGTATCAGAATGTCAGGAAAAGTTGGGAAGAAAGACCTTTTATTTTTCTCATGCACATTTTGGCTCAGAGGAGGGAAAATTAACTGTATTTCCTTGATGTTCCCAACTAACAATAGCTGACCCGCTGCTCTTCATCTCTGTTCTGTGCATTCCTTTTCCTGACAAGGCAAAGTATTGCCTTGGGATCCAAGTTGGCAAAGTCAATGGGACACTGGGTGCATGTAGCTCACTGCAGGATTGCGGTACTGAGTGGCAAAGTTTGTTAACCAGGTACTTGTAATCGCTGAAATACTTTTAAATACAAAAGGCAACTGAGATCCAATTTTTTTTTATTTTTTCCTTCCATGGGCAGCAGATCCAACAGCCTCCACTGGCCCCTAAGCAAGGTGGAGAGGAGGTGGCTCTCTGCTCCTGGGAGGAGTGGGGGCCCCACCCAGCCTTTAGTGGTACCCTAAGTGCATGGCACTGCGGCAGCAGTTTAAAGGACCCATAGGTTTGAGTGGGGCAAGAGATTCCAAATAAGTTGTTTTTGTGTTTGTGGGTTTTTTTTTTTTTTTTTTTTTTTAAAGTGCTGGTGAAATACTCTACTCTGACTGCAGCAAGTAACTTGTAAGGAGAAAGGAAGAAGAAAACCTTTTGTGAGTGGACACCTGGTACCATTCCTGACTCCCATCAATCAGTAATACTATTTGTAGTGGTGTCGCTCTCTTCATCCAGAGATCTATCTTGATTTAGAGCCCCAGATCATCCAGAGAGCTGTAGCTCTCAAGTAAAGTGAGTTCTCATGGGATAAGAGGGAAGGTCCTTTCATGGACTGAGAACTGGTTAAAAGAGAGGAAACAAAGGGTAGGAATAAACAGTAAGTTTTCGGAGTGGAGAGAGGTAACTAGTGGGGTCCCCCAAGGTTCTGTCCTGGGACCAATCCTATGCAACTTTTTTATAAACGATCTGGAGAAAGGGGTAAATAGTGAGGTGGCAAAATTTGCAGATGATACCAAACTGTTCAAGATAATGAAGACCAAAGCAGACTGTGAAGAGCTTCAAAAAGATGTCACCAGACTAAGTGATTGGGCAACAAAATGGCAAATGAAATTTAAAGTCGATAAATGTAAAGTAATGCACATTGGAAAAATAATCCCAACTGTATATACAATATGCAATAAGGGGACTAATTTAACTACAACCACGCGAGAGAGCTCTTGGAGTCACTGTGGATAGTTCTCTGAAAAATATCCACTCAGTGAGCAGCGGCAGTCAAAACAGAGGGGCTGTGTCTAGATTGGCAAGCTTCAAAAAGATGTCACCAGACTAAGTGACTGGGCAACAAAATGGCAAATGAAATTTAAAATCGATAAAAAACTTGCCAGCTGTCTACACTTGCCGCTTGAATTTCCGCAAGAACACTGACGATCTCATGTAAGATCGTCAGTGTTCTTGCGGAAATACTGTGCTGCTCCCCTTCGGGCAAAAGCCCTTCTTGCACAAATCATTTGCGCAAGAGGGCCAGTGTAGACAGCACAGTACTGTTTTCCGCAAAATAGCCCCGATCTCAAAAATGGCGATCGGGGCTTTTCTGCAGAAAACCACGTCTAGATTGGCCACGGACGCTTTTCCGCAAAAAGTTCTTTTGCGGAAAAGCATCCTGCCAATCTAGACGTGCTTTTCCGAAAATGCTTTTAACGGAATACTTTTCCATTAAAAGCATTTTTGGAAAATCATGCCAGTGTAGACGTAGCCAGGCAGTCAAAAAAGCAAATAGAATGTTAGGAATAATTAAAAAAGGGGTAGAGAATAAAACAGAAAATATCTTATTGTCTCTCTATAAGCCTATGCTATGCCCACATCTTGAATACTGTGTACAAATATGGTCGCCTCATCTCAAAAAAGATATATTGGCATTAGAAAAGGTTCAGAAAAGGAGCAACAAAAATGATTTAGGGTTTTGGAATGGGTCCCATATGAAGAGAGATTAAAAAGACTTGGACTTTTCATCTTAGAAAAGTGGAGATTAAAGGGGTATATGATACAGGGCTATAAAATCCTGACTGATGTGGAAAAAGTGAATAAGGAAAAGTTATTTACTTATTCCCACAATATAAGAACTAGGGGTCACCAAATGAAATTAATAGGCAGCAGATGTAAAACAAACAAAAGGAAGTTTTTCTTCACTCAGCACACAGTCAACCTGTGGAACTCCTTGCCAGAGGATGTGGTAAAGGCTAGGACTTTAACAGAATTCAAAAAAGAGCTAGATAGATTCATGGAGATTAGGGCCATCAATGGCTATTAGCCAGGATAAGTAGGAATGGTGTCCCTAGCCTCTGTTTTTCTGGAGGTGGGTGACAGGGGAGGGGTCACATGAGGATTACCTTTTGTGCTCCCTCTCTCTGGAGCATCTGTTATTGGCCACTGTCGGCAGACAGATACTGGGCTGGATGGACCATTGGTCTGACCCAGTAGGCCATTCTTATGTGAGCTTTTCTTTTATTTGGATTCAAAACTTTATTTGCTATATTTGAGTTTCATGTAGCTCTGTTTTTCTTTGCATTGTTTCTACAATGTGAACTGTTCTTGCTGTCTTCCATGCCTTCATTACTGGGGATGCTGTTGCTTGATTCAAAACACATCCAAAACAATTCAGCCATATATAAAGATGTGAGAGCTGGAGAAACAATCTCCTGCAGAAAAGGGTTAACCATGATAAACCATCAGATTAAATGAGACCCAAAGCTAATTGACTTTATGATATACAGGACATGCAGGAGCCCCAAATCAGCGTTAAATGGTGAGATGGGACCCCAGTTAAGTACTAGTTGTGCTTTGTTGACCAAATTACTGATTTTTTTCCTCTAGATATTTTCATATGGCTTAATTTTTAAAAAATAACTTGGCTTGTTTTACACAATTAACTCTCAGTACTGCTTTAAAAAAACTTTTCAAGAATGCTAAGAATGAGTGAGTTTAATTATATTTTTGTTGGGATCAATAGAATTCTTAATAAATAGCACTCCAGGGTTTGAACTGAATCTGTTCTGAAATAGAAAGTAGACAGTTGATCCACTGAAAGACTCTTAATAGTCTGGTAGCACTTTATAGGCTAACAAAACATGTAGATGCTACATGTTTTGTTAGTCTATAAAGTGCTACCAGACCATTTTTTTTTTCTGTAACAGTCTAACTCAACTACCCTCTGAAGCTCCTAAAGACTCTTGTTGTTGTCCAGAAAGGGATCACTGGCCACCAGAGGGAGCCCATATTATTTCATGAATGTCACAGAAACAAAATGAGAATGACAAGGAAACGTAGCTCATAAAACAAAACAAACCTTGGCTCAAATCTCTGATGCTAAAATCAGGTGCATTCTCAAGTTGTCTGCAGAACTTCATGAAAATCCAATTAACTGTACACGGTATTTTCATGTCTTCTGTAACAACAAAGAAGCCTAACTATTGGGCTAGAAGTTTCTCCATAATTCAGGCTGCTCCATGATCTTAGTGTGAGAAGGTAGTTGCGCATGTTCTAGTGTTTGGTATATCCAGGATGGTACCACTCA